ACCTTAATGATTCTATGATTCTATCATTCAGGATTCTGGCTGAGGGCCAGTGTATTGATTTGCAGGGGCTCCTTTAGAACATTCAGCTCTGAATCAGAAATTACTGTTCATATTGAAGACAGTATGTAATGACAATTGCTGGTACTCAGACAACAGGAAATCTAATTTTATACATCCTTAAGGATGCTCAGCTACAGAGTGTAGTTGGAGAAGGATGCAAGTATCTGGGACTAGCACTGGGCTCTATTACTTCTTTCTCATACTTCTGAAGGGAAAAGCCTCGAGTTTTCCCAAAGTTGGGAACTGGTTAGTGATCTCACCTTCCTACACACTATTCCACTTTGTCCTCCTGAACCAGAGAGGCCTGGTGACAAAAATCAGCACAGGATGGGGAAAGACATACTGAAGCAACATACCATATTATCTGCTTCCATGTAAGCAGCAGAAAGACTTAAATCAACTATTTTGTCCATGTTCAGACCCTGGACCAGTAGATGGCATGATCCCTCACGCTGCCAGGTATTTACATATTTAACAAAATTGTATTAATTTGCATATGCACAAATAGAAAATTCATTTGTACCCACAGAATATTCAGTTCCCTGGTACAATGAAGCAGTTATATCTATATAGCCACAAAAGCAAAAGGTTGCTTGTTATCTGTTTACCACATCTGTGCATCCTAAGAACAGTGACTTTAGTCCTCATCTAAGTGCACTTACTCCTGGAATTAAACAAATTCTCAGTAAAAGGCGTTGGACTAGAGGTAGTCCTCTACTTACACTGGCAGAGAAGCAAAACATCACAAAAAGGAATGCATCCCTGGAGTCATGTGGAATGTACTTTGCTTTAGTCAATATATGCAGATGCAGGTCCCAAGATCACAGCTGAATCCTTCACATGTTTAGAACAGTCTGAGGACTAAGAGTTTTCATTAATAACCACTGTAGATGGAACTGTATTTTCAGGGAAAGTCTCATCTTACACAGATCTGAACTGTCACCCCACTATGTTTTCTTTTTTAAATGTCAAAAAATGTACAAACACAGATGTACATATAGATTATTATTATTTTTATTGCTCTTGTTAAAAAGTCAGTATATGAATTATAGCACTATGCTGTAAAAATGCAACATTACTGAGTGCTCTAACAGTATGAGGTCCATTATGACAAGATTTTAAACATGAAGCATGAGCTTCATATGGATTTCCAAATTAAAAAAACAAACCTAAGAGGTAAATGGATTAATAATAATTGATTTATCTGGATTTTCAATACTGAGAGAATACAGAGTGGATTTGCAAGAACAAGACATATTTAAGACATGACAGAATCGAACAGCTTCTAGAAATTGAAGAGAAAATTATCTCTATATTTTTGACCTATATAGAGGTATTTGTTCTGCATAGTAGGTGAATGTTACAGCTCTCCTATTAAACTACAACCACAATGTGTCAGGGGGAATTGCATGAGAAATGGAAAAAGCAAACCAAAACCTTTTCGACATTCCCAGTCAGAGAAAAAACTGTTGTGCTTTGAATTTTTAAAAAGAAAAACATCAATTTAAGAAAAATAAAATAAAAATCACATCTCCATCATATCAAAATACCAATGCCTATTAACTCTGTGCTTGGGGACTGAAAAAAGCTATGATACTATTCCTAATTCTGAAGCAAACCCAAACAACTGGGTATCCATGGATACTATTGCACTTGTAGCAGCGGTGCTTTAACTGGCCTGAAAACTACTTTCGTTGTACTGAGGAAAGTGAGAATTTATTTCTTTGTATGTGTAATCTTATTTGAAAGATGCATTGTAAAAATAATGGTCTCCTAATTCAAAGTGCCACACCCTTTGTAAAAAAAGTTTAAGCACATCTGTCACAACACAAAGCTCTTGAAATGCCTCCACTGCTTAAAAAACCTTAAAGAATAACATTTCCCAGACAATGGGTGGGCACGGAGTACCAATTAAAGGGGAAAAAAAATGACAGTGGGTATTATTTTCCCAGCAAAAGGATGCCTTACATCACACAGCAGATGAGAAATAAATAAGATGAAACTGAGTCTGAATATAAATCCTTGGGTGATGTTGCAAGAGTCACAGGCTTCACCAATGTCAGTGTATGTTGTTAAGCATAATGCAGTTGCTATATACAGTATGTTTATCAGATAATGCCAACTAACAATACACTAAATTAACGGTTGTTAAAAAATGTATTAAAACAACTTATAAAAGCAGATGGCAACCCCCCCAATTATGCATAGTTACTTACGATGAAGTCCAGCTCTCTGGAGTCCGATAGATTGACACCTTCAAGCATCAAGAAGCAGTTTTCTGAAGCGTGAACAACATAATTAACAGAACCTAGTCAAGCTACAGGGGAATTACACTGTCAAAAATATCTCGAGTCCAATCACAAAACTCTCTGTAAATGTTACCACTGCAGAGCTGCAATGGGGCAGTCATCCATTCAAAGGTTTTACACTGCCTTATTTCTTCAAAGGACCTTCTAAACGATGTGCTATTTAACATGGTGGCGATCTACACACAAACAAAGCATGTGACGAACACAAAGCACTTAGGTTTAGAAGCACTTATGGAAGAATCCATGACATCTTTACAGAGTATTGTGTACGACTGCACGCTCTATTAAAGTTTCTCCTGTTTATTATTATGTGGCATCTTACTGTTCATAGTATTTCTACATACTAAGAAGAAAGAGCCTTCTCCCCGAGAAACCAGCTTCTCTGATATGGGAAGCCACCACGCCCATATCTTGCTTTGCTAAAATAAGGCATGTACAATGACGGTGACAATGTCAAATCCCCATGAATCAGGACAAAAAGACCCAGTTCTTCCCTTTGTTTCTTGCTCGGCTTCTCTGCTCTATTACAACCGTGAATGTCAGTCAGCATCCATGTGTTCTTGTCTAGTAAGCAGAGGCTTTCCATCTGTATCACCAATCTTTTTCCGCATCTCTTCCACTGCTTTCAGCAAAGCTGCTCGCTCCTGCTCAAGAGTAAGAATGGACTGCTTCAATTTGCCTTCATTGGTCAATAAAAGCTCTACCGTGGCTTCAAGGTTTTGGATCTTTCCATTAGCCACCTTTCAAAGTAAGAAGAAAGGAGAAGGAGGAAGTAGGAGAAGAAAAAAATTCATTAATAACTGAAACGAACTTCAAACTATTTTTTGGAGATACATTAATACATATAAACTACTTTCCAAATAATGAAAAATTGCAAAGATAAAATACAAGTATGAATGTTATTAGATCTGTGTACTTCAGACTACAACTATGGTCTCGCCTGTAACAAGAAACTTCCCTCTCTCAACTCGATTGCTTTGATTGGTTCACAATTAAATCCAGAATACAATGCAAACTAATGAAACTAAAAAGTTATTAAGTCTGCAAATTATATACCAAAAACTGCAGGTTAAGATTAGTCTCTGTATGGGTCAGTTGAGAGACATTTTTGGGCAGCTGTATTTGTGGAATTCCACACACTTTGCAAAGCACAGACAACCCAGCCTGTCAGCTGGATCCTCATTTCATGTTGACATTGAGTCCAAGAAATGCCAGATTTGGATGAAAATGGGGAGGAGGGGATTTTAGTACAATATGTAACTCGACAACACATCTAAAAATTTAAAAAAAATCTCCTTTGAAAGGCTGCACATATGGGTATGCTACTTCATGGTGAAACAAAGTACTAGAAATCCCCAACACTACAGACAGTTAAGTTCCCACTATGAGGTTAGATGTTGACCTGCCAGCACTCAGGTGGAGCTATGTAAAAAACTGCTTAGGGCTGCAAAGTCTTTAGGGGCTGGAGGGCGTGGAAGATCCCCTGATGCAGGTATCTGTAGGCCATTACATCCTGAATCTCATCCTAGAAATCCTTCTCCCCCATGCTACATTCAACAACTTCCTTGCTCATGTGCCTGAAGCTTTATGAAAATATCTTACAGAGGAGTGTATCTTCTTCTCGCTTCTTTAAGGCTCATCTTCGAACCTGAAATAGCTTCAGATCTCACAGGACCAGAATTTACAGCTTAAGCAAAACTTTGTTAGGAGAAACAATAGAAGTCTGCACGGTTGGCTAGCTTTAGTCATGATACAGGACCAATATCTGAGAAACCTGGACTCCTTCCCTCGTACATTATCTTATGAATTCTATGTCTTTAACAATAATTGAGAGGCTTGAAATGTCTGCTTCTTACCCTTGAAGTCCCTTTCTCCATCAAACTAAATGCATGGTCAAAAGTTTTACAACAAATGTCCTGTTATAAAGCAGCCAGAAAGGTGACTTCTTGAACCGTTAAGCAAAGAATAACCCCTACAGAGACCGGCGTACTGCCTCTGAAAAAGCGGCAGACTGAAAAGGCACCAAACATATATTAGAAATGATTGTTTTACATATTCTCTAAACAATCTGGATAACAGTTTAAAAAAACAAATCTTGTAAGAAAGAGCATGTCTTTACAGACAATGTAATGTGTATCTGACGTATCTGAATTGTAACACTGGCACTGGCTTTCCCATTTGTGATAGACTAGTATCCTTGCGGTAATAAAGCAAGTAAAAATGGAGAAAGCACTGTGTATTTTTAGTCACCTTCTACAGCTATGATTTTAATGACAAGAGAAGAGACAGTGTGATGAATCAACTTTTCACTAACTGAAAGCATATGCTTTATCCACCCCCCTCTCAGAATTTCTTCTGTATTTAAACTTTAAAGGTTAAACTAAATAAAATTGCTAGCAGCTATGCTTTAAATTCACTAGACCAAACGCCAGTCTCTCCTGTGCCTTGGTGCAGGATGGTCTCTTCTCAAAAGGTGGATAAACTAGACTGTTAATTAAATATGAAATATAAATTGTACCTGCAGTTCTTCCAGGAGTTCAAAGTTTTGTTTGCGCAAACTACTGTTTGCCTTTTCTAATTTGTCCAGTCTCTGATTGTCATTTAAAGATGAATCTATAAGCTCATCCTGAAGCACATGGTATTCAACTTCATAAGCTTGCAACTGCTTGGCAATATCCATTTCAAATACCTGTTGTATATAAAAATGTTATTAGGTGCTGTGCAGATCAAAAATATAGCTCATTCAATGCTTTAAAATCTATGAGTCTAGACTAGGATACCTCATCACTGCATAAAAGAAAAAGGACTTAGTTTTTGTCATTCACATGTCCTACCCTGGGAACGGCATCATTGCAACAGCAGAGTGCAATATATTGGCATTGGATCTACTCAAAAACTTTGCTACTGGTTTGCTGCCTGACTTCAGCAAAATCAATTTACACCGAAGTTTTCAAGAAGTGCAGACTTTGTAGGTTATTCCCCTTTTGAGATTTCAAATTTAATGCATCTCAGTTCGGCATAAACTCTCCTAGACATACCTGGAATTTGATGTCACAGAGTCATAGAATGGTTTGGGTTGGAAGGGACCTTAAAGATCGTTGAGTTCCAACCCCCCTGCCATGGGCAGGGACACCTTCCACTAGCCCAGGTTGCTCAAAGCCTCATCCAGCCTGGCCTCGAACACCTCCAGGGATGGGGCACCCACAGCTTCTCTGGGCAACCTGTTCCAGTGCCTCATCAGCCTCACAGTAAAGAACTTATTCCTAATATCTAATCTAAACATTCTGTAATGTCAAAGCAGATTTCTATTATTGTTAACTATGAATCACTGAAATAAGTGCTTTGTCTTATATATGAATAGTAAGAAAACCTTTTGTTTTAAAAGCAGATAAATAAATAGAGGTGATGCAAAGGAAAAAACTGCTTTTCTTTTTCTTTTTTCTAGGTTTTGGCAAACATCTGCCTTCAAATTATCCAGGAAATATGAGTCTAATATCCCTGAGTAACTGATCTCCTCTGAAAGCAGTAAAGAAGGTGGTAAATGAAAAGGACAAGTGTGCTGATCATAGAACACAGTAGAAACAGGTGTGCTGATCATAGAACACAGTAGAAACAGAAGTTGATTTAAAAATGTATCTGGAAAATACCCCAAGAATAGAAGTTCAAGGGTTATTCTTTATTTTTAAACCTCTTGTACTTTATTCCTTTTGGAAATGAGTCAAAAATCAAATCCTACCTTAAATACCAGATGAAATAACAATTTTTTTCTATTTTATTTATCTACTATGTCTACAAAACTTTAACTACTGGATATAATTAAACATCAGTTTATTGTTTATGACACCTGTTACATATGCTATAAAGAAGTCTCTCAAATAGTCATCTAGCAGAAGAAACACACATACTAAGATCTAAGTACAGAAGGCTGAAAGACAATTTTGAGTTTGGCTACATATATGGAACCTTCACTTTCTGCAGATCTGAGCATCTCTGGAGAACAGACACTGTTGAAATTTCAATAAAGAAATGATGCCA